CCGCTGGTGAGGGCTGCGGGTCCCTTCCCTGCAGCGCCTCTGCGAGGGATGGGGTCCCCGCGGCTGGGATGCTGCAGGAGGCTGCCAGCACTGCCAGGCAGCCCGGGACAGCGGGGCCAGGGTGGCATACCTGGAAGCCAAAGCAGATGGTGGGGATGACGCTGAAGATGGAGGCCCAGGAAGAGGTCCTGTGGCATGGGGGGGTGGACAAAATGCAGAGCAAAGGGCGTGAGGCCCCCGGAGGCAGAGGAGACCTTGGTGGCATAAGCTCTGAAGTCTGGATGCCACCGCAGGAACCTCGTGCCCAGTGATCTCCCACACTGCCTCCAACCCTGCCCCATGCCACTACCAAGGCCACAGAGGATGGAGCAGGAGGGACGTGGGGCTGACCCCCCCTACCTGGAGGGCTGGGGGGGCTTGGGCGAGCCCAGGGTCTCTGCCTGCAGGTGGTATTTCAGGACGATGACCAGGGTGAGGTAGCAGGCGGCCAGCGTGCCCAGGATGCTGCCAGGGCAGGGGAGAGCATCAGCATGCAGAACCCTGGCTGCTGGAGGGACGGGGAGTCCTGTGGCCCCACAGGGACCCGGGAGGAGGTGGCCTGGGGTACAGGGTGCCCAGGGGTGGGCCACCACGAGGGTAGCCCAAGTCTGGAAGCCAATCTCCCTGGGGACGGAGAGCGGAAAGATGACGAGGACACACAGAGCTGAGAGGGTGAAGCGCTGGTCTGCGTACCAGGGGGGCAGCGGGGGGGCCCCGCTCAGCGTCCCGTTGGGGTACAGGGAGTCACACACTGCAGAGGGCAGGAGGGGGTCAGCTCCACCCCAAAAGGTGGCCCAAGGGGGTCAGAAGCATCACACCATGGCTGGACCAGGTAGCCCCACGTCCTTGGGGGAGGGCCCAAGAAAAACCTGGGGCTGCCCCCAGCCCCCATGGGACCACCTTCCCCTCACTCCTGGGAGCCGTTCCTGGGAGCCGTGGTGGAGAGAAACAACTCACATTTCTCCAGCTGGTCGCCCACCACCCTGAGGAGGGCCACAGAGATCATGAAGAGGTTGAGGAGGAAGCAGACCTCGCAGAGCTTCCCCACCGCTGCCCCGCAC